GCTTGAAGCTCGAGGGCAATACCTAGCAATGTGCCTCGGGTCTCCACAAGTAAAATAAGCTCTCGGCTGCTGGGGCTGACGACCCTGAATACTCTGAAGCGGTAGTGCACTGATAGGTGTTGGTGGTTCACTGAAGGACTGCTAGTCAGAATACTGCATCGGAGGACCACTGCTACCGGAAGCACCGTGAGAAACCTGAAGAGCTGACTGAAAGGGCCTAGGAAGATGGCCTCTACCATATGAATCTCTACCTCTAGACGAGGTACCACTGAATCTGCCTGAATGACGGGGCCTCTTAGCTGACCCCTGACTACCTCCCTGCGATAGAACCATCTTAACTCTGTGGGCCACATTGGCCGCCTCCTGAAAAGTGATCTCACTCCCGGTCTCCTTGGCCATCTGAAGACGTATCGGCTGAATAAGACCATCAATAAACCTCCTCACCCTCTCTCTCTCTCTTGGTAGGAAGTATGACAAGAGCATGGCGAGATAAGTCGATGAACCTGGTCTCATACTGGGTAACCGTCATGGAACCCTGCTGGAGGCGCTCAAACTGCCTCTGATAGGCCTCTCTCTGAGTCACGGGGAAAATTTTTTCCAGAAATAACACTGTAAACTGCTCCCAAGTCAAAAATGGTGACCCGACTGGCCTAGCTAAGCAATAATCCCTCCACCAAGTCTTGGCGGATCCCGACAAGCGGAATGTAGCAAAATCGACCCCATTGGTCTCAAAAATGCCCATATTCCTGAGAACCTCGTGACATCTATATAGGAAATCCTGGGTATCCTCAGAAGAAGCACCGCTGAAAGTAGTAGTGAAGAGCTTGGTGAACCTATCCAGCCTCCACAATGCATCGACAGACATCACCGGTCTGAGCTGTGACACCTGGCTGCACTGCTCCAACTGGCTGAACCACTGGAGTCTGAATATGGGGAGCTACCTGCTCCGGAGTGCGTGTAGCAGGAGTCTGAGCCCCTCCTACAGCCTGAGAAGTGGCTGGTGCTACAGGAAACAAACCTGCTCGAGTGACACTCTCCATGAGGCCCACAAATCGGACCAGAGCATCCTGAAGAACTGGGGTAGCAATAAACCCCTCTGGGACCTGAGCTGGGCCCACCGAAACTGCTGGGGCCGGAACCTCCTCCTCAAAATCAACCTCAGGCTCCGCCACTGGTGCTGCTGCTCGGGGCTGAACTCTGCCCCTACCTCGGCCTC